AGGAAGCCTGGAGCAGAGCAACTCTGCCTCGGGCTTCCTGTAGTCAGCCGCTGGTCAGTTTCATCAGCGGCTGAATCTGGATGGCAGTTCCGACTTACATACAGATTCAACTTAAGAACAAACCTACAGTCCCTATCTTGTACGTAACCCGGGGACTGCCTGTAGAGTGGGATCAGGTGGGGGGAGGGTAAAGTCTGTCACTGTTGACTTTAATCCATCTAATGGAAGCAGAGACACAGGTAAGGGGAGAAATGAAGTTGCTGGGAAAACTAATGGTGAGAAAAAGTCTAATACTGTCAGGCAAAAATAAGCCTTCCTTCTTGTACAAAGGGAAGAAGAATTTAATCCTCGAAGGGATGGAATTTTAAAGGTTTGGTTCTGTTTGTTACTTCTTACTTATAAACAGCTGTGGCCAGAAAGGCCTTTTACATTTTGTTTCTCAGCCCTGCACCTCCAGGCACCAGCAGATACTCAAAACTGGGAGGTACCTAAAATAAAATATCACTTTTGAACATTTTGGTCTTAACCTATCTATGCTTCATTTTACACATCCTTCACTTGGTCTAATATGTAGCTCTCTCTCAATGGTAGTCAGAAGCTTACAAAAATTCCTGCTTGATATATTAATATTGTGAAGTTTTGTTTCTTTCTGAATACGAAACTGCTATGTCACTAGCAGCTTCGGATAGTATTACACTTTGCTCAAGATAAGATGCTTACCAAAGCCAAAAAAAAAGAAGAAAAGACTGGCTCAAACGCAGGTATAGCAATATCTACAATCTACCAAAAACCTAGGCTTCAAATACTTATACTGAACAAACACAACTGGGCTAACTTATATCCCTAACCTTGAGCACAACCTAGACAGACAAATTAATCCAAATGATCTAAAAGCAGCTATTTATGAATAGCCTGACAAAGTAAACATGTTAGTAATTGTCCTTCTTCCCTCATTCCCAATATGGTTACTTTGGTCAATGTGAAATATTTTTTATTCTGCTACATCTGAGTAAATAAATAATTCAGTACGGACAATCTTCTACAGATACTGAACTCTGAAATTTGATCCTATAAATAAGTTTAGTTCTTGTACATTTTGATTGATTGGTGGGTTTGCATTTCTACAGGCAACACATCTTAATTTTTTTTAAAAGTATGAAGACCATATTCTGCCTTTGATACATGCATATAATTCACTGACTGACAGGATTTGTTCTATGGACAGAGAACAGGACATGGCTTCCAGTTCAACGGTGGCTGGTTTGTTGAAATGATTTTTTGTTTGGCTTTCAAAAAGCAACCTACCAGGACAAAATTTACACTTCAAGCAAGTCAAGTTAAACAGAAATTTTAAAGCCTCTTGTTTCTGAAAGCAGAGATAGGCAGCTATAATCCACACCTGGATCTCAACTTGACCCAAATTTGCAAGGGGGGGTGTGTGCGCAAGAGGTCAGGCTTAGAGTTTTGATTTGGTCCTATTTTTACTCTTCATATTAAATACAGACTAAGCAACTCAACAGATGCTATGAATATCAGTAAATGGGAGCTTGCTAAATATGGAAATTGTTAACTATAAAAACTAAATGACCCAACGTTGCATTAACCATGACATGGCACAGATTCATCTTGGCTTCCTCCTTTTGGTCTGAGTGAAGGATTTGGCCAGTCATACTGTTCAAGCAAACTAAACCATAAAAAACAAGACAGAGGGGGAAAATACTATTGGCATGAAAATGCTGTTGGCAATAGCAAGCATTCTCAGATGTAATTTTAAACAGCCTCTGTACTACTGCCTAAGTTTTCTTATATTAATATAGTATAAGCTTGCACTTCTTAAA